CACGGGTCGAAAACTTGAAACTGGAATCAACGAATACAAGCTAGCCATCTGCCGCCGAGGTCCCCTATATCTTGTGTTTGCGCACGCTCTTGACTGTCATCATCGCTTCAATTGGGAAGGCACTGGGGTGGTCGCGATGGCTAACACTAAACAGGCAAGGGAATTCCTCGAAGCCTAGTACTCTAATGCGGGCAGCATAAATAGGCATGTTGACCTTGACGTTCACTGCGAGACCATCTGATCAAGGTGGACGGACTGGCGTCCACCTTAACAATAACAGCTCTCAATGCATGCTTGGGCATGCTAACCTTCACCTGTACGTCATTGCCTCTACCCCCAGCCCCCCGCCTCCCACGATACAGTGAGTCACACGTGAGAATTCATTCGCTTTGGCTCACGTCTGACAGTCACCACAACACGCTGCAGACTCCCACCTTGTACGGTCGTCTGTCCTTCTCTCTGTCTGCATCCTTAAATACCAGTCTTCCCCCAATCTCTACTTTTGTCCTCTCTTTGCGACTATAGCTTCGCCGACATCGCCCTGATTGCACGTTCATCACTCATACATAATTTGTCTGCTTAGAAAAGTAAATGGATCGGTATGTGCCGTGCATTCGCGATTGAATACAAGTCAATTCAAAAAGGCAAAAGTCAACAAGAAGCCTTACTGAGTAAAGCCGTTTTGCACCGGCAGCCACCAACTAGTCAGATTTCTCTCGGCTTCTGTTAGTGGCTTCCAGTTCCTATTTTTGAATAGCGCGGGATCGTACAAATAAAAAAAGTTTTCTGATACGGGCTGCATCCTAATCTTTAAGCCAGTTTCGCTGGATTCTTCGCTGTTTCCCTATAAACCCCATACAGTACAAAACTTTTACCAGGGCTCCGGTCTTACACTTACCTGCCCAACGGTTCCCCAGCAGTTTTGCATATTAAGCTTCCCCCTTGATTGAATAAAAGTCAATATGCGGATGGACTATATCCCACGCTTTTGGTAAGTAACCCAACCGCCGCTAAAGTAGTACAACAAAACATGCTTGCTACAAAATAAGTAGGCAGTCATAAAAAGCAAACAAGAGCGTGGTGTTACCTATAATAGATTTTTAAGCAAGCCAGTTCAAAAACAGGCAAGCGCAATACAAATAAGCCTTACTGAGTGAGCTCGTTTTGCGCGTTTGCTCCGGCAGCCACCTGAAGGGCATAAGTGGAGATAATCTTGGTGAAGAGGTCATCCACATTGAGTATGTGCAGGCGGATGAATTCCACGGCGAGATTGACTACAGTAGTGGCTCGTTCTGCCGCCAGACCACTGGGCGGTGTCTGACCGGCGCCGCGAAGACTGATCACTACCATGGCAGCGGTGGCAAGACGACGGTGTGCCTCCTGATCGATAGGATCCGGCCAGGCCGTGACATTAATCTCCGGGGTGAAACGACGGTCCACGGCAAAGGGAACCGGCCAACTACCCCGTAGGCGTACATTGACGGTAGGACCACTCTCCTGGGTGTGCAAGAGGAAGGTTATGGAACGTACGAAGGTTTCATCGTCGACGAAGATGTGGCGTTCCCACTCGGTGAGGCGAGCCAAAAGCATGTTCCAGATGGCGAAGGCAGTCGGGAGGGCGTGAGTGCTGTACGGTATAATAGAAAGCAAAAATGGTCGGCTGGTTTCTTTGTGCACATGTAAGTATATGCAAATCGATACAAAAATGATTGCGATTTTTCTATCACTAGAAAGCCTACTGAAAATATGTTCAGTACGAATGTCAAAAGGAATTGACAATTTAACGCTACTGTAGGCTTATGTACAGTTAGTGATCTAATGCAGGCAAAATTGTAATCGAAATAAGAGTTGGTAGTTTAGAAAACAGTCGGTCTTGTTATTTTGATCTTATTGCATGCTCAAAAATCTTTTAGTAATGAACACTGCATATTGAAGGAAAACAGGCAGGATTTTGGTGAAATCAGAGGGTGCTGGATGCCCAAGTAACTTCCTATACTATTTACTAAGACAGTACAAAACATTTTTATTTTTGAGCCTTGTGCTATATAAGGACACCACTATAAGCAGGAATAATTTTAGAAAAATCTCTTCCAAAACCGTGAAATCTGATCTTAAGTTAGTGAAAATGAGGTGGATACAAGTGTAAGAAACCGCATTGATTTCCAGGAACAAAGAGCGAAATCAGATCGATAAATTATTTTTGTCAATTTCTGAATATATTTTTAAAGTTTTATGTTCTAGTTCATATTTATATTATCATATTATATTGTGTTATAATATAATAGGATAATCTGTATACTTGTATACTTAATAAAAAAGATCTTGTGGTTCTGTCCGGTTCCTATTCCATTTTGATTGGCTGGCGTCAAGAGTCATAGGTTTGTCCGCCTGATAGCATAGTTCGCAAAAGCGCCACTATGACGCGTGTCTGTCCGCCGCTGTTGGCAATCGCTTTTGCAAGCTGTCTATCCTACTCTCCGTATCAGCTGTTTCAGACAGACTCGCTGACCGTAAAAAAATTTGCCTACTTCCACGCTGACCCCCTTACAATTTACGTCCAGGTAGTCGTGGCCGCATGAACCACCATCCCCCCCCGCCGCCGACGCAGCAAGGGCTAAATCCGCTGCCTCCGGCCATTGAA